AAAATCATTTCACTGAGAAGTGTGGGACTTAAAATATGGGCTCTGTGGAAGGCAAATGGAGTGTTAGATATGACATCATGGATCCTCTAGGGAAAAAAAAAAATTGTCCTGGCTTCAGAAGCAGAGTATCAGATCCCTGGCCATACCAGGATGGCTCTTGCTGCCTTTGCTACCAGAGAGGTTGTGGGATCTTATGTTGACTATAAAACTAAAATCAAAATCACTACAGGAAATTTGGTTTGGGGTAGAAAATAGTACTGTAAATCTACAAAGTCTTCACAGACTTCTTTACAGGAACAGAGAGCTAAAGTACCTACCTACCTGCCTGCCACTCACACACACATGCACGTGCACACACACCTTTCTTCTTTTCCAGTCCCCAGGCATGTGTTTTGGCAATGGAGCCTGGACCATGCGGTCAGTGGTCTGGCTGTCGTGCATTTGGAGCCACAGCCTAAGGAACTGCAGTCTCCTTGCAGGCCTGTATATTTGATAAATTTGGTTAGAAACAGCCTAATATTCATGGCTGCAATAGTGTGATGAAGCAGATTAAAGGAGATGTCTTCCTTTCATGAAGGAAGTTTCTCCAGTTTTCCCTGGCGTTAAGATGAGTCACTGGGGAGAGGGAGAATGGTTGCTCTGTGAGCATCAGCAAAACGTTTCCATGCTGGACTTCTAGTATGTTTTCATAGAATGTTTCCTGAAATACCACAGTTTGTGGACCATTAATGTGAAGTTTAGTCCCCGCCCCCTGTTCTGAAATATAACAACAAAGTCCTAAGAAGTCAAAGTGAACAAAAGGGTTTTTTTTTTTAATCTATCAGAATGGTCCAACCCTGGTAGCCAGGCAGTAGCTCTCAGCTCAGCCTCTTTGTGGACATGGCGGGAGACCTTGTGCTGTGGGAGCAGTGTTTGTTCCCAGCAGCTATTGCTCCATCGTCCGCAGGGAGAAGTGTGTGCGCTGCATGGAAGCCTTCTGTGGCCACCAGCTGGACCATGCTGATCAGGCATGAACATGCTTGTGCTCTGCTAGACTTTGCCTCTGCTCTTTCTCCTAGCCTCTCTTTATCATTGTTTGCATGTTTTCAAGTCATTCTTGTCCTTTTCTCATTAAATTCATTTTCAAGAATAACTAAAGCTCTTCATTCTATTCTTCATCTTCTCCCCTTTTCTGATTAGATGACTGTAGGGAAGGTATCACGTGCAATTGGAGCTGTGGCTGAAGTTCTTGTCAATCTGTATGTGAATGATCACAGACGCAAGCCACAGCTTCCCCCCTTTGAACTGGTAAGACCAAACCCACAAAGAAACAATAACTTGACTTAAGAGTGGTGTTTCCAGAACGTCATTGTGACTTAAGACCCTGGTTGTGGAGCACTTTAAGCATTATGAAAGGTCTTGGTCTAACAGTTATTAAGAAATCAAGTGCATATTGGCAAAATATGCTGATGTGTGGATATGCTGGAAACGTTACTCGCCGTGTCTTCTATTTATATTTTTATTACATGTCTATGAATTAAAACTTCAGGAGGCTTTTATTAAATGTAATTATTGGTACAATTAGTTACAGAAGACTAATCAGGGTGGCTTCCAAAGAAAGTTTTGTACAGTACATCTTTATGCAGTTATTTTTAACACCAAATGCTGAATCACCATGCCTCATTTTGAAGAGAGCTGTTTTTAAACTCTGACACTGTTCTGTGTTGAATTCAGAAGCGGTCTCTGGACAGATCTACAGGTTCTTGCCCCATTCCTCATTCTCCATCTCCTGCCTACACTGCTCAGAGCTGTCAGGTATTGGGAAGCAAAGTAAGGTGTTGTGTTGTGGTGGTGACACTTACTTATTAGCCAGCACTAAACTCAATTGCTTTGGCTTCATTGTAACTATCTGTTCTATTAACATCATATTTTTAAAAATGCATTTGTGTATTTTTCCATTTGCATGGTTGTTCATTTGGAAAGTTTCAATGCTCTGAAATGATCCGTCACAGCAAAATGGATTACTAATGGCAGATTTGGAATAGGATTCTCAACTTTTAAGCACAAGACAATGACAATTGTGACTTGCACTTAACATTAAAAAATTGTTCCAAGGCTGCCCTTTGCCGGCAAATTAAAGATGAGTTGTGTGGACTGTGTGCTGCTGTCTGAATATGCCTGAACTCTGCCAAGCCCGTGCCTCATCTGTCCCATGCGTGGTACTTCTCCTGTGGCAGTGGGGTTGGTGGAAGGGGAGGGAGATGGTGATAGCTGTGGTAGAGACAGGATGCTCATCTGTACCGACCTATAACTAAGTATAATACAATAATGCAAAGTAACATCCTCATACCTGCCTCTAATAAGAAAAGGGAAGCCCAGTGGCATCTAATCCATTTATAATTTATTTTTCTGTTCCTTTTGCATGTATATCCAGAGAGGATGAAATTTGTGGCAATTAAAGAATGTTAATTGCTAGCCCAAATTCAACAAAAACCTTCAAAATAGTTTCAAGTTGTTAATATGGATCATATTTTAAAGTTCAATGAGTTAAAAATATTCTGAATGTCTGTGGTAGGAATTAAATTGACTTTTAAAACAAACCAAGCCGCAGCTTGGGCTGTAGTCTCAGGAGGAACATGGCTGAGAGGGGAAGCGCGTCTGTGGTGATGTAAAATGGTAGTTCAGACACCAACATCAAAGACTGTCAGTTTTTCTTCCTGGACCTTAAAGCAGGAGCCTACATTTTCCTCTGGAGTGTGTATGAACTGAGTCTTCAGGGTGTCTGTTTTCTTAGCTTCAAATGCGCGTCTGTTGTTTGAGGCTGGCAAGGTCTGCCTTTGCCCTCTTCTGAGAAACACCGATGCCCACAGCTGTGAGACACAAGTGCCTGAGCCAGCGTGGTGCAGGGTGGTGAAGGAGCATTTGGGTCTGATGCTGCTCTTTTACCTGAGAAAACACAAAATGTCAGTGAACTCCCAGAGGGAAGATGGACGTAA